CACAAACTAATTTTGCTGGCATCACTTAGTGACTCACTGGAATTTGTTGCTTACTCTATTGACAAGTAAGTTTTTTCATGCATGTTTCGTGTCGTTTCTTTTTTATTTTTGTTGGTAAACTTCAACTGATTCGAATTCAGGCACGTGTGATTTATAAGTTGCTCATTGAAGCGTAACATAGAGGACCCATTTTCTGTTCCAACATAAGAGTTGGGGTGTGTCACATTTCACAGATCCAAGTGCCTTGTATATGTCATCCTCTAGGCTTGTTTTGTAGCAATCTTTGAGAACACCATCATTTGTGCTTGTGCATTAGGATCTTTTTGGCGATCCTTCGATTTAGTAACACATTTCAATTTAAATTTGTTGCTTGGTTTAATTTATTACTTTAGTGATTCCTTCAAGAAAGTAGGGACACAAACATTAAAAGTTCTGGTGTACTTAAGTCTACGCCGAAGAAAGACAAGATGCCATATTTTCTTGGAGATTGACGTCATAATTTGGGAAAATAGATGCAAATGATGAAAAGTTGGATAACGAGCTAAAGAATGTAAAGCATTGGATTCTTGGGGATTAAATTTATAGGATTTCAATTCTGGAAAAATTTCATGCATGGACCTGAAGTTCCAAGACCACCTTCAAAGCTGTCCGAAGATATCTAATGTCAGTTAGTAAGCCTATTAATAACTTATCTAACCTGTGGTAAAACTAGTAAAATTCAATAAATAAATCATCTTAACAGTTTGTAAGAAAAAATAACCTACTTCAAACTTCCTCTTCACAAAAATTAACCTCAGAGTTACGTATGTATAGAAAACTGATTTGTGGTGTAAGTTTCTTGGAGTTCTGCAACATCCAAAGTAGGATCGATTTCTAAGTTATCTGGAAGCTGTGTAACATTTGCCCCAATTTTCTTTAATATTTTTTATGGTTGGACGCGTTTGTTCATCAACTTCTTATATGTTCTAGTGATTTCTATTTTAAGCATATTAATTTGTTTCATATTAATAAAGGTAATTTGATGTAAGTTTCTTATTTGAAAAACGGAGCCACATTTTTAAGTTGAAAAAGTTTTTGGCGCATTTTTTTTTTATGAATTTGATAACCATATACTGTATCCTAGATGAACGGTTTTTTGTTTGCATACAGGTTAGGACAGACAACTTTGAAACCTTCCTGTCAAGCAGAAGTTAATGGCAGCCACCATCATACCCGGACAAACAGCGCCCTTACTCGAGATCTGGCATCATTTGCAGAGGAGTATAGAAAATTATCTATTGACTGCCTCAAGGTTTTGCGTATCGAGATGCAACTAGCAACACTTTTCCATTTACAGGTTGGAAATTTGTGATTCCCATGGGTTTCAGAGTTTGCTTGATCGGTAAAGGAAACAAATTGTTCATAGTTGTACTGAAACAGGAAATGACAACTAGGGAATATATGGAGAACCAAGATGCAGAAGAGCCAGATGACTTCATTATTTCCCTCACTTCACAGGTAAGTTAGATGATTATTTATATGGGATAGTATGTGTCAGTTTAAATTTAACTGAATATATAATTTCATAAATAAAAAAAAATTAGTGAATCTCTTTGGTCGATATTAATTAAACTCTTCGCACGTTCGAGAGAATATCTTTTCTTCTTGATACGATCGCATTAGCTAAACTGTATCTGATGAAAACGATGAGCACTTTCAGTATTTGAGGGTAGTCTATTATTTTATTTTCGGGAGGGGGTAGAATTTATGAGGTGGGGAAAGAATGCTTGACCATAAGTAGGTGATGTTATTCAAATAATGGATGAGTTCATTTTTGTAGCCATTTTGTATGGAAGGATTCCTAGAAATCCCCTTGCAGTTTTCCCATGTTCATCTTATATCGATGCCCAGGCATCGAAATGTACCCAAATCAAAAGGATTTTACAAACCCATGAGATTGTTTGGGTTTTTTAGGATACCCATTATGTCAGAGAACTCGACTGTTGTAACAGCCCAAGCCTACTACTAGTAGATATTGTCCTCTTTGAGCTTTTTCCCTTAAAGGGCTTCCTCTCAAGGTTTTAAAACGCATATGCTAGGGAGTGGAGAGGTTTCCATACCCCAATAAGGAATGTTTTGTTCTTCTCTCCGACCAATGTGGGATCTCATAACTGTCTAACGCATCTCTCTATTGTCTAAATACATGGAAGAGAGAATCCGTAATTTATTTTTGCACTTATGTTTCTTGCTACCTAGTTTTATCATGTTCAGTGTTAAAAAATTTATACCATGTCCTGAAAGTACTGTCACTAAGGGGCTCTACTCCTTTAAAAAAATTTCACATATTTTCTTTCTTACCTATAGATAACACGTCGAGATGAGGAAATAGCGCCTTTTGTTTCAGCGCTGAGACGAAATTACATATTTGGTGGAATCAGTGGTATCGCAGCAAATGCATTTATTAAGGTTCATATCTTCATTGCATTTTCATACATTCAGATTCCTCGGTAGTTATCATTAGATAACTTCTTAGATTCGAGCTTTTATTTAAATTTCCTACTCGGTCCCTCTCACCGATAAGATTGTGTGTGTAGGCGGTCGGTGACATGAAATCGATCAATCTCTTTGGCGTTCAGCAGATATGTCGGAATTCAATTGCACTAGAACAGGTACGTCGATTACATTGCATTGTTTCTAGAATAAAGCGAACTATGAGGATTTCATGCAACCTTTGGTTATAAAAAGCCGAGTTATGGCACTTACATGGGTGCCTTCAGTTGTTCTAATGGAATTATAAAAATAATCTTTTGTTGGATTATATTCGGTCAATCTCAAAGTCATGGCTAGAAATTTATGCAACAGAATGCAAAAATGTTATACTGCTTTAATCACTCTCTCTTTTTTTTTTTTTTGTGTGTGGATAATTTACAGGCCTTGGTAGCAATTCCTTCGGTTAATAGTGAGGTAGTACAACAGAGATTAGATCGTGTGCGTACTTACTACGAATTATTGAACATGCCATTTGAGGTAAGTTGTTTAATTTCGTTCTTAAAATCTAGGTTAAATCACTAGTTTAGTGATTGATGTTTGAGGGTCGTATTTATTTGATTCCTGAACTAATTCATTAGTTCAATGATCGATGTTTGAGGGTCGTGTTTATTTGATTCTTGGTTCCTGAACTTTTACTTTAATAAGTCACTAAACTTTCAATTTTGTGTCCAATAATCTCTAACAAATTCATTTCTTTATAAAGCTAGTTGACGAATTTTAAATTTTTTGATAACTTAGGAACTAACTTTGTAATTTTGAAAGTTGGTCACAAACTTCGAAGATTAAATTTGTAGTTTAACCTAAAATCTATTTGTTTAACACTTAGTAACGTTCCATTGGCCGTTACAAATAACTTTTCTTACAGGCCTTGCTTGCCTTTATCATGGAGCACGAGCATTTGTTTACTGCAGCCGAGTAAGTCAACAGTCCACATTCTGCTTAATTAGGATTTTCTTGTGAAACTGTTTATCCTAAACAATAGATGTGTGTTCTTTTTACAGGTATGCCAATCTTCTCAAGGTCCAAGTTCCAGGGAGGGAGATTCCACCCGACGCACAAGACCGCATATCTGAGATCTTATCCCGTTAAGATACTGCCACTCGGGTATCCGATATCTTATCCCGTTAAGATACCTGTCACTCGTGTATCCGAGATCTTATCCCGTTAAGATACTTGCCACTCGTGTATCCGAAGATCTTATCCTGTTAACTTCCTAAATGCTGCATTGGATGGCCTTTGTTCATGTCATTCGCTATTTTCAGGGATATCAATACAAAATGTGAAGCATACTATAGCTCTGTAGTTTATGAAGTGGGGCGAACGGCAACCTTGATGATGATGATTCTCTCCTTCAATGGAGGCTGCTAGCCATCCCATGGTTTCTTCATATGCTGTTTAACTTTATCACTTCATTTATGGTTGTGTTTTTAAAACAACTTTTGTAGAATCAATTTTGGTTCTTTCTTTTCGACTTGTTGTTGCTCTTTCGGTAACTCGATGCAGGTGGGTGAGAATTATTATTTGTGTATGTACATGTAATGTAGAAACGTTACTTGTATAAAATTGTATTACTAAGTTCGAGTATGATGCTTTTAACCATCTTAAAATTAACACAAATCATGACCTTAAACAGCATAAGCACAGAAGATGTACAGAGAATGCCTTTAGTAAATTATTCTAGGAACTTCTATTTCAAATATTCTTCAATACTTAAAAAATATTTGGAAAGATATTCAATATTTTATCTTAAATAAATAAAGACCAATCTTTATACTTTATAGCATAGCAAAAATCTACATCGAAAAAAAGTTGCATATTCCCATGTTTTACTATCTAGTTGGATATCCAATTAAATTAATTCAAAGCAAATCTTATATTTGATTTAGATCAATAATTTTCCTTTGGTTGATTTTTTTATCGAACTTCAGTCGTCGACCTTTTTTAACAAGCACCTTCATTAATAAGGTTACCATTTGTATATGCAAATATCTTAATCATATTTTCTATGATGTTCGTGAAGGATTCAAAAAAATTAAAAAATTTTAACTTTAGACAGTTGGATAGATTTATCCCCTTGAATAAGTATTTCAATATTCATCTTCTAATAATAAATTCATCAACTAAGGTCCTAATTTAGAACACTTCTTCAAATGCTTAAAAAGTATTTGTATTTATGAATATTTAAAAAGTCATTTTAAATGACTCTAAATATTTCTATAAATATAAAAGTTTTCAAAATTCACATATTAACCAAAACTAGTTTTCAAAATTTACATATTAACCAAAACTAGTTCTTAATGCGATGAAATTAAATCTCACAAAACTTACCATAATGGTAATAATTAACACTTGAATAGGATGAAACTAAAATTTTACCTTAAAAGTTGACCCACCTGCCAAGTAAGTTGATGGAAAGGAATAAAACTTGATTTTTTACGGTGATTGCCCTGCTAAAAAAACTCGGGGTGGTATTTGTTTTGTGAAATTAGAGGGTACAGACATACATAGATTTATGATGTTTCAAAAACAGAAAGCAAGTTTAGAAAGCTGTACATTTTGAGGTTATTATCATATTGTGTACCTAATGAGCTTGAAATGTTGGGTTTAGTTTCAGCATCTTCCTCGCTAAGTTACGGATATCCTCTCTATTGGATTCTCGCGATATTCGCTCCAACTCTTCCACCCCTCCATGGCTCACAAAATCTGCAGCATTTTCCTCTGCACATACAACATATTAGATATAACTTTCTTAGCAGCAGCGATGCACAAGTTGTAAAAGCTATATTGTTCATTAGAGTTTTGTGTGTGCGTCTAAACTTTGCCATCATCCTTTACTACAAGGTCAGGCATGATATTTGTGGCAAATAATTTTACGACAAATTCGAACAACTTAGCTACCTAGTTTGATAATTGAAATATTATTCTGTGGCGTATGACAAACTATAATGGATTAGTGGGAGATTCCAAATTCCACCCCAAAAATCATATTTTGATTGATATCAAATGTAATCGAACGGTTGGATAATCATAGTCGGTAATAACATCGATGTTCTTATCGCTATTACAGAATCATACACAAGATTTTCATCTCATATGGCTTCTTGAGGATCATAAATAAATCTAAACAGCGTGTCGGGATTATTTATCTTAATGTCTTTTTTGTAGAATATAGGATAGGATAAAAATCTATCGTGTAGCACCCAATTAACCCAATAGAATTTTGTCTGATTCTGATTAATCAGAATGGATGAGTGGGAGGATTCCCTTAACTATTTCATATATGATAGATATACTCTTGACTAAGAGATGTTGACTAAGAGATGAGAGGTTCGAAACCTTACCATTTTGTGCCAAATGACACAGGGAAAGCTCAATATGGCGCCGAGTTGATGCAGAACTTGTATGAGAATTGTTGATTAACCAAGTAAGGGCACCCTCCTCCATTAGCAGAGAACGGCCTTTCTTGCGTCCTGCAGCAATGGAGAAGTGTTACTTTGGTGAAAAGGAAGATGTATGTAGTTTCTGTTAAGACACGAATTGCATCAACAAAAACATGTAGTAAACCTTGAAGAATTCCCCTCGATTCACATTTGGCAAAATTTGCCATTCCCCTTGCAACTTGCGCAATAACATCATTACTTCCGGATGTAACCATTTCCAGAAGAGCCTTGATTCCTCCATCATCCTTTAGCATCTTGTGCAACTTTTCTGTTTAGCAAAAATTTCAGAATAAAAATTTATAAATCTCTATCGCAGTAACCTGAAAATTTTGAATTAGAGCACTGTTCCACGAAAGAAAGTGTGTATTATAGTATCAGGATAATCCAATTCAGCCTTCAAAACATTTCCAAATATGACTTCCCAATTCTGAAAGTGGGACAAGATGGAGCAAGCTTACCATTTCCACATAAATTAGCAAGGGCACCAGCAACCATACGAAGAGTTTGGAGATCGTTTGTTCTGGAAGCTGTTCTTGCCAATAGCTGGGCACCCCCTTTGCTCATTATTACGGCTTGATTCTTCTCTGATTAAAATTGAAAATTGAAAATTGTTAGATACAATAGCATGTGGCTACATTTGTGTATGAAGATCAATTAGGATGCCATTATGTCAGCCATAAATTTATTTACTTGGGAAAAAAAAGCTGAAGGAGGTTATGCAACAATTAAAAAAGCCTTCTATTGACATCACAAAATTTTATCAGGTCACAAGGAAAGATATAAAGGAAGCCAAGAGGATTACAAAAAATCCTTCCATTCGGCGTTAATCAAAAGAAGAATCGTGGTATTAAAAAATAATATAAGCTATAAAATCAACGGAATGTGTAGTGCATGAATTGTTAATCAAAAGAAGAATCGTAGTATTAAAAAATAATATAAGCTATAAAATCAACGGAATGTGTAGTGCATGAATTGGAAAAAATGGCATGTAATTTTTGCAATATCTTAGAAAGGACGACACCGTTTTCTGATAGATGAATATTGTGAGATCCCACGTCGGTTGGAGAGATATTCTCTATAAGAGTGAAAACCTCTCCCTAGTAGACACGTTTTAAAACCTTGAGGGGAAGCTCAGAAGGGAAAGTCCAAAAAAGACAATATCTGCTAGCGGTGGATTTGGGCTGTTATAGATGGTATTAGATCCAGTCATTGGGCGGTGTGCTAGCGAGGACGCTAGACCCCCAAGGGGAGTGGATAGTGAGATCTCACATCGGTTGGAGTAGGGAACGAAATGTTCCTTATAAGAGTGTGGAAACCTCTCCCTAGTAGACGCGTTTTAAAACCTTGAGGAGAAGCCTAGAAGAGAAAGCTCAAAGAGAATAATATCTGTTAGAGGTGGGCTTGGGCAGTTAAAGATTTATAGAAATTGGGACGTATAACAGATAAGCTTCTTGGACATCTCACAAAATTCAAATTCTATGTAACAGAAATTTTTCTATTTGCAAAAAGATCATTAGAATTACACTGAACCAAGTCATCGGGCTTACCATTCATTGCTAAATTGGCAATAGCTCCCGAAGCCACTCTGAGAATTGTCATATTTCTAGATGACTGCAGTAACATAAGTAAAGCATCCAAGCCACCTTCATCTACGATTTTCTCCTGATTTGAATCTGAAATCGATAAAGACCATCAGTTTATAATCCAAACATTCTCAACTTCTAGTGCATTAGCAGCGAGAGCGGAAAAAGCCATTCATTAGGGAGTAAAACAATCCCTAGAAAAGAAATTTTGATAAACCATATGGACACGATCAATAATACAGAAATTATGGGGAGATGATGTCACCTTCAGCAGCAAGATTGGCCACCACCTTCACAGCATGGACTTGGACATCAGTGTCTTCGGAAGTCAACAATTGTAAAATCTTTTGAAGACCAACTGGAATCCAAGCAAATGAACTTCCATTAGGATAATTACAATTTCAATTCAGATTAAAATAAAAGGTTTTCAGAATCTTGAAAGAGTCCATAACAATGTTCATTTTAATCAAAATTCGAGTCGACTAACAATCATCTTACCTTCTTCACATATTTTTGCAATTGTTGCACGCTGACCAGAATTGGTCTCTTTCAATTGACCCCTCTTGTGAAAGCCCATGGGAGTTCCCAAGTTGGAGGGTTCTCTATGTATATTATCCTTCATATACGATTTCTTATCCTGTGATCAATGAATCAGAACAGAAGACCATCAGAAACTAGAACGATTTGGATAAAGGGGAAGTGTACGACAAAATTTACCTCAAAATCATTCTCACTCACGGGTACGGTCCTTTTTATTTGGACTAATTCATTTTCAATAGTCTTCCTCTGCTTCTCTTCTGATAGAAGTTTTTGCCTCATGATATAAAGTTCTTCCTTCAGTTTCTCCTAAAAAAAAATACATGGATTTTTAAATAACTCATCATCCATTAACAGATTAACAGCTAGCATACCTTCTCTTCCACTTGAATTTTATGCTCTGATTTCAAGGACTGAAATTCCATGAGAGTGTTTTCATGCGACTGGCTAGAATGTTTCAACTTTTTCTTGAGTTCTTCGATTTCTTCCTGCTCATAGATCCAACAAAACAAGTGTGTAGGACAATGATGAGGGCAAGAAGAATCTGGTCTCAATTAGGATGGTATAAAAGGAGCTAACCTGCATTGAATTTTGATGATGACTTAGGCAGCTCTTTGCTGAATGTAGCTGTTCTTCTAAAACTTCGAGGTGAGCGTTCTTATCCTCTAATCGTTTTGTTAGTTCTGACATTTTGTTCTCGTATCTCTGAGTGGTTTCTGCAAGTGCCTTCTTATACGCTGAATTCTCTGTTTCATGATGCTATGCACCGCAAAGAAGAACAATAAATAAAGAATAGATGTAGTAAATGAACTGCATGAGGTCAAATAATTCCATGTGTGTGACAACCCTTTTTTCTAGGGAAAAAAGGGGAGAAAAAGTAATAAATAACTGAGGTCACCCCTTTTTCATTTTCAATTGAAACGCAGAATTTCAAGAACGTTTAATAAACAAGTGGAAACCAAAAAGAAAAAGAAGTATCAAATAAAATCAATCAAAACATAATCAGAAAAATCCGTACACTAGCAAGCAAATAAACTTTGCGACTAAAAGCTACAACGAAGTACAAAACTAGCAGTAGTATTTAGCTCTGATATCAAATTCACAATAATAATACGATATTTAATACTTGGTAAAATAGCAATGATGAAGAAATAGCTAAAGAAACAAAAGCAAAGGCAAGGCTTCCTCTACCAAATGATGAATATACTGACCTGAATCGACTTTTTGTGTTCAGATAAGACTTTCTTCATAACTTCTAACTCTTCCTTGGTACTAACAGAACGAGCATGCTCAACTTCCAGCTGTTTCTTCAAATCTGCTATTTTCTTCTCATACATTTGAGTGGTATCGGCCAAAACTTTCTGATACGTGTAGTTTTCAAGTTGATGTTGCTGCCAGAACATAAAAAGAGACCATTATTCTCATTACCTCTTTGGTCCAGAGAAAATATATCCCCACCTAAAAGCCATTATTTACCGTACTAAGGGCCTGATAGAATAGTTGGATACTGAGCTAGTTATTATATAAAGTAAGATTAAGAACTATATGTAGGATTCTATATTCCAGTTTAATCGATCCTTTCTTTGTTTTTTTTTTTCTCCTTGGGATAAGAAACCATATTTTACCAATAAAAAAGATACAAGGAGCTGGAGGAAAATATGGCCAGATCAAAACTAGTGACCAAAGGGGTTATAAAAAAACTTGGGACCAAAATGAATGAAAATAGCAGAACTTTTTGGTTTTGAGAAGCAACACAGCGACAAAAAGGATTCATCTTAACTGGTGCCTCTTTAAGGTTCTACTCAATAATAAAAAAATTAAAAAAAAAAATCCTAATTCGTTGAACATAACCCATAGACAGTGCCACTCGAGTGACACACATATACCTTGCGGACTACAGCCTACAGGTAAAACGGCAATGCACAAAACGTGGTCTATAATATTTCCTGCCCTCGCTTAGCTCACTATGAGACTACAGATACAAGAATAGGTGTTTATCGTCAACTATTAATTATAATGCTGTAGTAAGCAGTAGTAAAGTTCAGACAAGAAACTAATATTTTTAATAAGCGTAACATCAATATAAAATGTAGCATATCCCATACTCAATAGGCCATCATAGATTATGTGCAAAGTTCTTATTTCCCCTGTAAATCGTAGCGGTTAGACTGGTTTAAAAGTGCTCGTTGACAAAGTTGATTCGGAATTTCAAAGTCCCAAAGAAGGTGACAATTTTCCTCTGGTCAATTGCGCTAGAGCTTGAATACACGTGAAACGCTCCAAAAAAGGAAGTCCTCGCCTTCCTCTGGGTCCTTCTATTAGCTCTCCTTGCCGGTGTAGTGAAGAGTCCATGGACCACATTTTCTTGCATTGTCCTTGAGCCTGACGCTATTGGAAAAAGTTACTGGACCTTTTTGATGTTCATCTTTGCCTCCCCAACATGGCGAATGGGTGGTTGCTGGCATCCTTGAGGGGATGGCGGTTGGAAACAAAGCTGGTGTCCTTTGACGGTTTGCTTCAATAACCCTTTTATGGAGATTGTGGCTGAAGTGATAAAGGATAATTTTTTTTAAGATAAGTCTTCTTCTTTTGAGTTTTTTTTTTTTTGGGATTGTTTTCAGCTAAATGTTTCCTGGCGGAGGCATAGTTGTAGAAAATTCTTTTGTAATATCCCTTTACCCCTGATTCTTTTGGATGGATAGGCGATTTATAAGTAGTTCCTTGGGCGGGGGCTCTCTCATCCCCCAGTCCTTAGGTTGTTGGCCTTTGCCCTCCTGTGATAATATATCTCGTTGTTTCTTTTCCAATAAAGAAAAAAAAGCGATAATGACTTACACCATCAACACACGCTAGGCCATAAGATAATGTAGCATTATGAATTATTCAACAGAAAAAATAAATGGTTCCAAAATGAAAATGTTCGAAAAGAAGTATATTCTATATCAGGATGATAATACCTTGCTGTGTTCTAAGCTCATTTCCAGATGACTAACTTTATCACACATCAGGTCATTGCGATCTCTTTGACGGTTCAATTCGATTAATAGATTTGCCATCTCCTTTTCCATTCGCCTATTGTCCTTCTCTAGCAACTGAAATAAAAATCACCAGAACAAGATTCTCACACAGGAACTAAAGAAATCCCTTGAAATATCAAAGAATTCTAAAGCCATATTGTAAATGAAATACTGGTAGCAAAGAAGTAACTCAGAAAGAGGAGAGATGGCTACCTCAGACCTTGTAATTAAACTATTTTCTGCTTCGGCAAGGGAGGCTTGACAATCTCTCAGCTCTTTTTCCAGCTTATATTTCTCATTTTCTCTTAACTTTTGCTGCCTATCAACTTCTGCAGTGAGATTGTCTACTTGAATTTCAAGCTTTCGGCATAAACTTTCATAATCATATTCTTCTTTAAGTTTTATCATGTTCACAATCTTCATTGCCTGATAAAAAAAATTAGCAGCTTATTAATGTCCTGAAATTAATATACAAACGAAGCAAAATATTCTAATTCATGATTAGGATGGTAGCAGAGGTAATACACTTTCAATCATTTAGGAAATGAATGCCTAGGTAACATATGCCAACTGAAATTCTATAAAATTTGAAGATTCTAAAAGATAACCATAAACCCAATTATACAAAGATGCTTCCGGTGTGGCTGCTTTTGTTGTTATTTTCTTGAATCCATTGTGACCTGTTTTCTACCTTCATTAATGAAAGTCTCTGATTTTATTTTTAAGAAAAATATATGATATCAATAACAATGACACTATAGTATTCTTGGTTTGAGGGGAGATTATAATAACAGAGTCTTGTCTGAGTCTTAAACTTAGAGGTCGTCTTTTTCATCTTAATTTTTACACACCATGTCCACTCGTTGGCAGAATATAGATGTTTGCAGCACCCAAATGAGACTTTCGGTGCAACTCTGAGATAGTTTTGTTCAAGGAAATTTTCTTCATTAAGTATCGTGGCTAACTGTGAGCTTCATTCCACTACTTAAAGATATGAAGTCATCAGCACTCCACAGATATCAACAAATCCAATTTTGTATACCCCACACATCCACACTTTAGCATCATAATTTTATCACGGAGGAAAAAAAAATGAGAGCTTATGTTATCCAATTCAATAGAAAGAGGGAACAAGCTCTGTGGTATGATTCCTTATAAAAGGTTTTGAAAACACGGATGATTATAGTATGGGGATGAAACAGAAGATACAATAAAACATCCAACTCACCCGTTGTCCAAACATTATTGTGCTAGCAGTTTCTGCATGGTATCTTGAAGACGGTCCAATTGTTATAATGAGAGAAGTCCTAGCAGAACCTAACAGATTTAAAACTGTCATTAGCTCATAAGCAAATTAAGAGAATGTCTGAGGACAGAACATAAATAAAGAAAGGTCTCACTTTTCATAAGGCTGCCTGCTTATAAATAACCAGCAATAGAACATTGTGTCAAAATTATAATTCTTTGAAAAAAAATATAAAATAGCCAAGGACGTATACCAATCAACACATATGGTTCAACCGACTGATCTACTTGTCAATGTAATAAGCAAATTTAAATTGAGAATATTTTAACATCATGAAACAATAAAAGACATGATGAGGGAGGAACAGAAACTCTATATAGTCACCGATGCTTGACATTGGAGGTATATATTCTTTAATAGAACTTGTCATGAGAGAATCAGAGAAAATAAGATTTCCAGAGTCAAACCTCCAAATGAATCACGAAGAAGTCTTGTAAGCTTAGAATCTCTGGTGGGTATATGAGTGTTGTTTTCCGCCAATGCATTGATACATTTTCCGAGAGAAGTAAGTGAAAGATTAATAAATTTTGCCTCTTCAAGTAAATGACCTTCACTTCCTGCAATGTAAAGTACAAGTAAAGGACAAGTTAAGCAAGTTGTTCATGCAGACAGTTTTACCACAAAAAAAAAACAAAGATAAAACATTAAAAGAAACGGAGAAAAGGGATGGTTGGTAGTGGCCATAAAGAACAAAAAACAAACCAGATTTATTTATTCTTTCTGATCCTGCTAGATCCACGATCAGCAACTTGCTTTTCCGAATCATTGGTACGCCATTACCACCCAGAATATCAACTGCATTGTCAATTCCTTGGGAAGCAGCCATATCTTCAATTCTTTTGCTGATAGCCCTTCGTACATAGACCTATGAAGCACAAATCAATAAATAATATATACTATTTACAAATTTAAAAACCATTGATGAATATTAACGTCTAACTGAATACCAACCATAAGAATTGCGTGGCTTCGTGAACTTTCTGTATTCAGTTTTGTATTGGCTGCATGGCGATTAGACTCACCAATCTCTAATAATTGTAAAAGGTGATCTATATCTTGAATTTTGACGACAGTAACACCAGGAGCTGATACTTCTCCAGTTTTGGGATCTTCATTAATAGGGATGTTGACCTTTTCAGGAGCTAGCAAATCTTGAATAGATTCCATATACAACTGAGAACAAATAGAGCACAGTAAATTCTGATTGCCCACATACATTAGAAAACTTGTAGAGATTCTCACTCCTCTGGAAAAAAAATCTTTAGTAGTCCAAAGAAAAGCTATTTAGCATGCCAACGGTTACATTCTTGTGACCGAAATGTATAAGATACAGAGATTCAGGCTTGTTCATAGAAACTAGATTTTGGATTTTCTTCCCTTTTAATTTCAGTTCGTCGGCAAATAACCAAAAAAAAAAAAATAATAGTGGAGAAAAAAACCTCAACTTGCAGACTTCTCTTTTAAGCAAATAATTAGGCTGACGTATTTGATTTCAAATTTTTATTTTTTATAAGATTGAAAATTTTAGAGATTTACTTAAAAGAGCGTAAATAGATTATGTTGCACCATTAGCAAAGCTCAAAATATTCATATGAAGATAAAGAGCTGGAATATGAAGAGCAAACAAGACAGGAGGCCAATTTCAACTTAGCATAAATCTATATTTTGCTGCTCAAATTTGTGGAATTCACCAATCCAATAATATCAGCCTTTTATATATGCTTCCAGCATTTCACAGCTTTCCAGTCTTGCCTAAACAATTTTAAATGATCAAGATCGATCCTAAATCAACCAACTAAAGTAGAACGATAAAGCAAGTTCAAGAAAATAAAAACTGCATCAATCTATCAAGTAAATGGCTGCAAAAATCTACTAAAGTTTCCACTGTTCAAAGTAAAGTACTCAGAAACAAAACAATCAGAAAGATTCACAAAAAGTAGTATGAGAATTACCATTCATAAAGGCACACGTGGATAGTACCTGCAAATAGGAAATCTCCACGCTGTCCAAAGTAGGAGATACATTGGCAATGATGTCTTCCAAAGCTCTAACCATGATACCACGTTCAGAAGCATCTTCTTTACCCATCCTTCCAAGTGTGTAAGTCTTACCAGTACCTGTTTGACCGTAAGCCATAATTGTGCCATTATATCCATTTAGCACGCTCTGCAAAAAGTACATCAAACTTATTAATATAAATATTAACTAGCATAGTCTGTAAAGACTAAAAAGATGAAATGATAGTTATCTGTACAATAAGAAGAACCACCAGATAGGGGAAGCACACTAAAAAATGTCTATGAAAATTAAGATCACACATGCACATACACAACCTTTGATCCACAACACATATCAAACATGAAATTTGAAGAATTATCAATGATTTCGCTTTTCAGTCACTAACCTCAACAACAGGTTTTGCTACCACTTCATATACACGCCTTTGAGAAGAAGATTCGGCAAAAACTTCATCAAAACGATATGACTCAGAACTCCAGTTGTTTTTTCTCAATTTCAACCGCTTCAGCTACATGGTAAAATAAAAAGATACAAAAAGAAGAAGATCGTTATGAGCACAGCTCCCACAAAAGAAAAGTAAGAACAAGACTTGGAAGCACATTAGTAACTCGTGCCTAATGATGAATTGATGGCTGTTGATATTATGTATACTAGAGATATAAATTTTAAATATTTTTTATCCAACACATGAACCATGTCAAAAAGCAAAAACTCCAACTTATTGATGAATATATAAGATTTTCATGATATAATTTTGTAATTATGTTGAAAATTACCTCTGGCTGTAATTCAACACAATCAGCAAAATCTGCATCTGAAAGGAGATCCTCAGCATTTCTAGGTCGAACTCTAACAGCCACTCTCACCCGCTGAGAATCTATCAAAAGATTCACGGAAAAAAAACATCAAACCTTGATCCTTATACCAAGAAGATATGCTAGCTTCGCAAATGCAAGAAAATCCTTTTCAAAATTTATTCACCAGAGAAGCTAACCATTTTAGTATATGCAGATGTAATGATCACCCTAAAGATGGATAATTCGAGTATGATGCTTAGATGACTGTCAAAGCAGCCTGGTTTGGATAAGATTTCAAAGGGATGGAAGAAAATTGATATTTAATAAGGAAAATAACACCTCTCATCAAATTAATCATATTGTATGCTATGTATATATTAAATCATTAACAGTAAAAATATTTGCCCAAGACTTTAAATCGACAAATATACAATTCAACTACTTCTAGTAAGAATTTGTCACGTAACTGAGAAGAAGAAACCTATAGGTATTCATATTGGAATTTACACAGGCCAGGGACTATCTTAAGCATCACTGTTCCAGATAAGGATCATCTCCGTGGAGTTTCTGCGGACTACTATTCACTGTTTTTCCACTAACCGTTTAAATTCCCACCAACACCCAACGGAGTTCACACAAAAACTCTGTTAGTTATCAATCAAATCTCTTCAGAATGACTGAGATAGCAATCATCATATTGCGTCAACATTTGATCATTTTAGTCATTAGACCTTCCAAAATGATCGCATCGGAGAAAATATTCGTCTTTGTATACTTTACAAATTCTTTAAGCGCCTTTCTCTTAATTCAATATCCGGCATGTTAACCCTTCTCGTACTGCGCTCATCACAAGAGAACAGGCATATGCATCGAACAAAGTTTAGTAACAAAAAGAATGTACACAATTACAACATCGAACTGTGAGTTTAATACGTTCCCGCATAAGTTCCTTGAACTATCGTATTTATATTATTGGTTCATTTGGTAAACGAGTTTCTGAATGGTAGCAGAGTTCTATAAAGGCTAACATCCAATTTCGTACAATCCGCTTTTGCTCAGCTGGCAAACATCCTCACACCGCAAAAACAAAACCATGAAGTTTGCAAACTCAGGGTCAAACAGAGATGCGCGAGTTCATACTCATTTAAGAATGTAAAGATATCATAACCTCAGGGAGAAGACGCATAATGGGAACAAAAAAACCAGACTAACACATTCCAAATGTAACAGAACGCCTAACACGTATTGAACCAATAACAGTCAGAAACAGAGCAACACGGCAAGCATCCAAGCCGCGCAAGCAAATAAACAAACACAGAGAGATAAAAAGAGACAGATATCAAAACCTTCATCGGCGTCAAACGAATGAGACCTTGAAGTCGAAGTAACTGAGCGTCGAGAAATAGTTGACGCTTTATTACGTGCAGATGAACTGAAACTCTGTCCATGACCAACACTTTTCGAAGCAGCAATGGGGAAAGCAGAGGAGTTATTATGAGCAGGAGAAAGCGGAACATGATGATGAATACCTTGCCTCTCGGACCTCAAAGAAGACCTGAAACCATTACTGCCAATACCACCACCATGCGAAGCCATTTCTCTTCCAAATCAAAGTCTCCGATCAGAGCATGTAGCTCGAAGCTTCAGATGGAATCGAACACCGAGGATCGAACACACATTTACAGGACGATGACGACTCCATGGCCGAATATCAGAGAAGTTAAGGCCGGCACGTAGAGAAGAAGAAGAAGAGAGAGAGAGAAATGGTTCCCGCGTTGGCAAATGGGTAACGTTTGGGGCGGCAGCGTTTATTAATTAAATTAAATTTATAGCTATTTAATTAAATGGGCATTTATTTTAATCCCAATAGTAACCAATAAAAATGTCACTTATTTATTTATTTATTTTTAATTCAACAATCCCTCTTTTTTTCTTTTTTTCTTTTTTAAATAATAATTAATAAATAAATCGACTTTATTATGTCAAAACTAAGACTAAAAGTGTATTTTCTTCTTGTCCCTATTTAATTTGTCTGTTTGTTTGTGATTTTCTTTTCCATTTTTTTTAAATTGTGAGTTTTATTTTTTTTAAATATTAAAAAAATGAGCATAACTCAAAATAAAAATAAATAAATAATTTTTATTTAAAAGGAAAAATATATTAAACAAAATATCTGTTTTCTTTTGTTTGATTTATAAAGACTTATTTCTGATTTTTTAATTTTATTATTGCTAAAATTAAAAAAAAATTATTTCACATATTTAAAATATAATTATTTTAGTCCATACTTTAACATTAATGAATTAATTATATAGATTTAAGTAGGTGTACATACCATAAGATAAAAGACTAACATTCTGTCTATAATCAAATGATTGTTTTGAAAGTTGATAGACCAAAATAAAATAAAATTTAGAATAAAAATATATATTTTGAAGGTTTAAGGATAAAAATAATATCGCTGATAGTGACAATAGCTTGATACGAGCAAGATGTAGAACTACGTAAAACTTTCGAACCTATCAATTTTTACCCTTCGTTCAAAATTATAAATAATTAAAGAAATCATTTTTTTATGCATCGTGATCAATGAAACACTTTATGAGAGGACGATAAAGATTTATATTTTCAAATTTATTTTCCGACTAATAAAAATAGAGAGAGACTGAATTTTTCTATTTTGAACCGTATTCACTTAAACAATACTAATATAGCAACAATTTTAACTACTAACAGGTCTACTATCTCATTTCGATATCAGCACATGACTTAAAAATGATTTTATTGCAAAAATAGTCTATGCGATTAATGATCGACGATCTCTCTCGTGAGGTCTATAGCTCTAAAATAAAATATATTAATTACGGGTTTGAAAGTGAGAGGTCAATAATTGGTGCATCATGTCTCGATGTAGAAATTGTAGGGACCTCAAGAGACATAGGTCTCATTGATAATGTTGTAGGACACTTATATTTGCAAAGATTTTACAAGGAACTTGAGTATAAAGCATTATAGCACATGCAATGTTTTCCTCACAAGGTTTTAAAAAAGGACAATCCCTCTTATTGAAATTATTGTTTGACATTTATTGAAATATTTATGCTCATAACCAACTTGAGATGAATTATTCCTCAATAAGTTATAGATTTATTGGAGATATTTAATGACTTAATATAGCCAATCGTAATAAATATATACATTATTCAATACCTTTTCTTCAACTAAATCATTCTTGACGTCATCTTCACCTTCCTCAGTTAATTACCGGTAGTCTGCTCAAGATTCCAATTGGTAAATAAATACTGCGCTCGTTGCAGGACTTAACCCAACACTTATTGGTACGAGTTGATGACAACCAGACACCACCTATATCCACGTTCCCGAAGGCACCCTTCTCTTTCAGGAAGATTTGCAGCATGTTAGCATTTTCGAACTAATTTTTAAATATATAATACGATGAAAATTTTGACATCATATTAAACTAACCTCTTAAATGTAAGTTAAATCAAGCATAACTATGTTTGAAAAATAGTTCAACTAAGGGGTACGTTTTGATCCAAGAAGTCAAAAATTTAAATTCTCACCCCGATTCATCAAGATTACATAGTCATTTCTATTTCTACAGTAACTTTTCAATCTCAGTAAAAACCCAGAAAGTTGAAATGAATTAGGGAATCTCGTACCTGTTGGAGTTTGAGTTAATGGATGGTATCAATATCCAGTTGAATAATATCCATTTTGTCAGTCTGAAGGACGATTCTGGTGGTACTGTATAACAAGAGAGGCTCTGCTGTCCGTTTGTTTTTTGATGCTTCATTTTGGTGACAACGGATGGCAGTTTTGTAGTCGGTGCAAAGTTGGAATCTGGACAAAAACCATGTTCCCAGATCTTGAGTTATTTCAGATAGTACATAGATCTTGATAAAATTGAAGTGTGGGACTAAATAGAGAGTTAAGCTAACAACGCTAAGATTTAGAGGGAGTTATCAAAACATTCTTTATAGGAGTATGAAAACTTCTATCTAGTCGACACGTTTTAAAAATTTTAAGGGAAAGTTCAGAAGGAAAAATCCAAAAAGGACAATATCAGCTAGTGGCGGGCTTAAACAGTTACAAATGGTATTAGAGCCAGACACCAAGCAGCGGTGTGCTAGTGAGGATGTTGCGCCCCCAAATGGGGTGAGATTATGAGATCCCACATAGGTTGGAGAGGAGAACAAAACATTTCTTATAAAGGTACGAAAACCTCTCCCAAATGCGTTTTAAAATTTTGAAGGGAAAGTCCAAAAAGGACCCTATCTAATAGGGGTGGCTTGGGCTGTTACATTTCCTTTGGAGCGGATTCCTCCTAATTTCATACCAGGAATGAAATTGTTTCTTATGAAATATATATATATATATTAAGAAAGTATTATGAAAGAAGTGGAACAATATTAATTTGTATCTTATATGGCCGTGGTGGGATAGTATCACAGTAATGGGCCAGTACCTTAAATAAGGACAGATGCTAACCTCTAGACCAGCAGCTTTTACAAGTTCCCGAACTTCATGGTTCCTTCCTTCATGTACCAACAAAAGCACAGTAAGTTAGTTAGGAGCTAATGCATTACAAGCACCGCATGCAGAAAACAGGTATTAATATATTTTCCTTCACAGACTGGGTTTAGTTACAAACCAAGAAACTTTGAAGGTCTATGCAATCATTGCTCCAAGACCAATTAGATCAAACAAGAAGGAATGAATGATTTGAGAGTGCATAGACATTTAAAAACTATAATATGGATGAATAAAGCACCATCATACACGATGCCTTGATACATTTGATTGTCGTGGTAGCAACTCTATAGAATTTGGTGTGATATGAATCAAACCATTAATCCATTTGGGATGTACTCAAGCAATTACAAGAAGCTAAGACAAGAAAAATTCAAGAAACTTTTACCTTACATCTTTGAAGGCTAATCAATACACAAGAGACAGATTTTTTTAGCCTAAATGTCTTTATAATTAGTTTATCAAATCAAGAAGAGAATATGGGGTGGAAAGAGGTTGGAAGACTTTATGTCTTTAGTAGTTGAACTACCATTTTTACTATCGTAATTCTTATTTTCTTCAATTTTCTTTTAATATATTTTAACTCAAACCCTTGTTAGTTGAATTAAAGTTATGTTTGGATGATAATTTTGGACTATTTAAAAGCATGTAATATGATTATCATTTTGAATATAAAATTGTGTTTGTTGAAACTTTTCTTGTTATATTTCTTTTTCAAATGTACTTTAGGTTTGAAGTTAAACTGATTCATTAAATAAGCATAATCAAACTAATTCTAGAGCAAGTCGTCTTGCATCTGAGAGTGATCATCATAGATTCAAAGTTATACCTGAGAGTATTCATTCTTCTGACTAGCTCTGAGTTGGAATTATTTTAGCTTTATCTGTGAAAGTTTGCAAAGATCTTAAAAGGACCTCTAGCAGCTATAACTTATTGCATATCTTAAAGTTTGTCAATTTGTGAAATTTTGAGTTTGCAAAGCTAGAGGTCCTTTATTTGTAAACTTTCACCAATAGAACTAACCTAACTAATGATTCCAACTAAGAGATAGTTAGAAAATGAATAATTTTAGATCGAATTTTGAATCTATGATAATCACTCTTAGCAAGACGACTCACTCCAGAGTTAGCTTCATTAAAACTAATTCAATGAATCGGCTTAACTTCAAACCTAAATTTGAAAACAAAGATAACAAAACACAAGGTTTTGTATTCAAAATGATAAAACTTGAATATTACATTTCTTTAAATAGACAAAAATAGTTAAACTATCAAGGACTTCGAATTAATAAACATGGAAGAAAATAAAAACTACATACATCACTAGTCATAAATGGTAGTTAACTAGTCTCAAAACATTTTCAAAGTTAGGTGGTATTTATTGCTGCTCCATATTCCACTACATGATTATTATTATTATTATTATTTTTTTTTTTCATATCATTCTCTTCTTTATTTGTATACTAATATTTTATAAATACTAATATTATAAAGACGTTGGGGTAAAAAAAAAAATTCTACTTGTACATAGACCAACCTTTGAAGATATAATATAAGAGTCTCTTGAATTTTCTTTACTTTGCTTCTTGTAATTGCTCCTTCGACTAATGTAATAGATGCTACTAAGTGTTTGGGTTGATTCATATCAGGTTCAAAGGCACCATCTATTGCTGCAATGTACCTACAGTTATGGAGCGAAATGTTGGCATTTTCAGAAATCAAACATTCAAAATTTTAAAAGCAATATGTATTAGAAAATTAAACTTATTCTTCTTCAATGTCTCATCCTTCAAACTTCTTTTTGATAATTTTGAAAACATTTTCTTCTCATCTTCTTTAAACTTATGGCAGAATTGATGTCTTGATTCAAATCAACCAACCACAAATAACAAATAACAGAGCACAAACTATCAAACAGAAAAATCGAAAAGTATATATACAGTGAAAAAAAGAAGGGTACGCATTAAAGAAGGCTGCGGATAGAAGAGCTTGAGCTTCTATCAACTTTTTCTCTGCTCAATTGATTGGAGCTTCTGTTAATATAGTTGTTGATCGAGGCTATAATTAAGCTCATATATCGCATAACAATGGTGTATAAACTGCTCAGATTGTTCAATATCTCCATTCTATCCATAGGTATGAAGATTGGGCCAAGTAAAATCATTTTAGAATCAATTTGCACGACTACATTTGCAAGTTTTGCAACTAGGCATGTTGCAATGATACTAAGCTAAACGTGTATCTGTAAATAACCTTGACAATCCACCATCGTATGATATTGTCCACTTTAAGTTTAGGCTTTTTTTGATTTCTTCAAGAGTCTTCATACCAATAGAGATATATTTTTTACTTATAAACGCATGATCATCCCCTAAATTAGTCGATGTGAGACTCCCCACCAAGAATACACAACCTATCCTATCCTGTCATCCTATAGCCAAAATCCATTGTCGTAACTAAATATTTTTTCGAAAAGAGCCCATCCTATAGACAAAACCCACTGTCGTAACTAAATATTTTTCGAAAAGAGCCCAAATAAAGACGACTAGCCACCACACCAAGCACAAAACAGAAACAAGTAAATAGTAAATAAAAAGCAAGAAAGAATGCTCTGTAACAGAACACGTCGATCTTCTATTAGCCATAATTAGCACTTCGCCTAAACAACCATCGGAAGATTGGTAGATACACTTAAAAAAGTTATCAAGAGTGAGAAGCACAAACCTCCAGCGGCAGCAAGAACTTTACGAGACGTTGTGACGAATCGCTAATATTCTCATTGTTAAATCTCCGCGCAGCCTTCGAATGCTTGGGGGCTCAGGTACGCGTTTATCAGCAGAATTTTTCTTCTTCTTGGGCTTGGTTTCATCCTCTGACATGGATTGAAGAAACCGTGTAGGCGAATGCTATTGGAGCTTGAGAGTGCCATCTCCGCCGCGAACTACCCAAAGAATGATGAGCTGACCGCCGGTGTTTCGATCAATGAACTGAAAAGGATCTTCAACTTCGATTTGGGCTAAGAGTTTGGGGGCGCGAATGCGATGTTGAACTCCGACGAAGATGAAGATGAAGAGGAGGCGTTGGAAGCGGAACTGGAGGGAGAGAGAACAGGAGCTGCGAGGAATGGCGCGAACGAAGGTTTTGAGAGATTGAGAGCGAAGATGTGAGTAAACTATTTCTATTTATATATTGATGTTAGTATTATTTTTAAAATTTTAAACTATTTTTTAAACGTTAATATCGATATATTGACTATAATTTTTTAAAATAAAGGTCGGAGATGTTAATAATATAAATATTTTTAATTATAATATTAATGATAACAATAATTTTTTTAAATGAAGGTGAAAGGTATTAATATTATTTTTAATATTTTAAGGATATTTTTCTAAATATAATATTAACAATAAAAATATTTTTTAATATTTTAAAATAATTAAGTATATTATTTTTTTAATTAAAAGTTTAAGAGTAGTAAAAATATTTTTTTAAGATTATTTTAAAAAATTTTGAGGAAATTATTATAATTTTGAACCCTAATTCGTTGGTTCTTACTAAGAAAGGCCCAGACTCCAAAGGCCCAAAACCATTGGGCTCACGAGGCCCAAAAACATTTCTCCCAGACGCGTGGGTTAAACGCGCGCTTTTTTCCATGGAGTTAGAATCCGATGAATCAATCAGAGTTCGCGCAGGCAGCATTGGTTTCTTGTTGAATTCTGAGTAATGGAAAAAAAGGGCAAAGTAGGCGTCGTTGTATGTTGAAGCCAGGGCTGGATTCTTTCATTTCTGCTGGATTGATCGTTAACCGCCGAGAGAATACTGCTCCAATCGTTCTCATTTCAGAATCTGCGATTTTCGAGTGAGTTCATTCAACAATTGGAAATTACTGTCTGTTTCTTAATCATTGTAAATGGAAAGCTCCGAGGAAGTAGGGGAAAATACGATAAGAACGAGCTCCGAGGAGGAGGAGGAGGAGGTAGAGCGTGAACCTTCCAATTTTGAAAATGGCGATGGAGAAGATGAGGAAGTTGAAGATGAGGAAGAAGACGAGGAAGATGAGGATGATGAGGATGACGATGATGAGGAACCGCCGCGGAGGAAGCCTATTTTGGATGCTTCTAGGTTGATTGCTCAGAGGTCTAAGTTAGAGAATCTGGTTGAGCGAATGAGGAAGGAGAAGGTCAGACTTCGGGTTCATGATATTTTGATCAAGGGAAACTCGAAGACCAAGGATTCTCTAATCGAGGCCGAAGTGGAGGCTATTAAGAATGCCTCAACTATGCAAGAACTGCTGGAGGCCGCGGGCGTAGCCAATGCCAATCTCCAGAGGCTCGAGATCTTCGACTCTGTCAAGATTACTCTTGATTCAGGCCCGCCAGAGCTACCTGGTACCGCAAATGTTGTTATCGAGGTTGTGGAGGCGGGCAACCCTCTCTCCGGCGAATGCGGTGCTTACACAAAACCTGCGGTAGGATTTTGTTCTGTATGTATATATGTAGATATTTGTGCCTAATGCGTTAATCAATAGCTTGTTGTTTGATAAGATATTACCGAAGATGGAAGAAAAAACCTGCATTGATATAGTTGTCTACCCCTCTAAATCTAAATGTTTTAATATCCTTTATGTGGCTTGTGCTTGTCGTGGTTCCCTTTTCAGATATGCAAATTGTATACCCTAACATATGACAGAAGTGATTTGCTGCAAATTAGAATCTAAAAGTGAGCTTCCCAGGTAGTAAACAATGTTGATCGTATGCTCCCTGTATTTTGTACCTTATATACTATGTGGGCATAAAACTCATTAGAACTGTTCTGGAGCATGAAGGTCGTTAAATTGGTGATCTTACACTCATTTCTTGCCTTAAGAATGGTTGTTTGTTCGAGTCATTATTCAGTATATGAGTATGAGAGTGAAGTGAACTATGTAGTGTCTTGAATTAAAGTAGATTGGAAGGAGGGTCATACTGTTGATCGTGTGTAACCACCAAAGCACACTTCTCTGTTACTAGTAATGTGAAATCAAGATTTTTTTTTTCCCACTCTTATCATTGTTTTCAGAAACTTTACTCATGGCACCAAACCTCGTTACTATGGATATCGAACTTTTTAATGCTTATTACATAACAATTAGGAACTCTGAGTTCTTTAACTCTGGTTATTTTTTTTGTGATCTCACTGTTCAGAACCAGACTATTATTCCCTTAGATAATTTTTTTTGTATAATTGGAATTCGTGCATGTACTATTTGGCTTGCTACCTCTATTGGGAAGTTTGAAGTGGTATAATGCTTTTGTAGGCTCGTTCGTGGACTTTTGAAGGTTCTGTTAAGTATAAAAATTGGCTTGGATATGGGGATTTATGGGATGGCTCTTTGGCCTACGGTCCTAATCAAACATCTGAGGTGAGTGCCGGTGTTTATTTACCTAGGCTGAAGCGATTGATGACTCCTTTGGTGGCACGACTATCCCTACTTTCCCAAGATTGGATGGAGTTTTCATCTTACAAAGAGCGGTCTTTAGGTCTTTCTCTTGGTTTATATTCAACTAAGTATCATGATTTGGGATACAACCTTGGATGGCGCACCATAACTGACCCTTCACAGATGGCATCTAATTCAATAAGGAGACAACTTGGAAATAGTTTACTTTCTTCTCTAAAATATACTTTTAAGGTTGACAAGAGGAATTCAGCAGTGAGGCCAACTCGAGGATATGCCTTTGTTTCTACTAGTCAAATTGGTGGCCTTGCACCTGATCACCGGAGCTTGCGATTTGTCCGCCAGGTTTTCTTCTTGTCTTTTTGTGTCTTTTGTAACAACAAAAGATTTGCGTAAGCCTGCATGTAGTTAACAGTTCGTTGTTGGACATTCATAGTTGTACCATGCAATACTTGCTTCGTTCAATGTTGAGGAAAACTCTGTTTCCAACGTTTAACAGGAATTTGATCTACGGTATGCCATTCCTTTCGGCTTTGATCGTGCTGCCATGAACTTTGGAGTCTCTGCCGGTGTTGTCCTTCCTTGGGGAAATGGATTCTTGAACAAGCCATCATCCCTTCCAGAACGCTTTTTCTTAGGTGGTGATTTCTCTCCAGTATGCACCATTGGAGGCCCCACAACTGTGTGGGGATTTAAGACGCGTGGAATGGGGCCAACTGAGCCAAGGCGCGAAGTTAGAGATGAAAATAAGGGTAAAGACAATGATGCTCTTGGAAGGGATTTTGTTGGAGGGGATCTTGCAGTCACTGCTTTTGCTGATCTTTCATTTGACCTCCCACTTCGCTGGTTAAGAGAACATGGGATCCACGGACACATCTTTGCTGGTGCAGGGAACCTTGCTAAGTTGACAGAGAATGAGTTTCGTAGTTTCTCTTTTCAGAAGTTCATGGAAACATTCCGTACCTCTGTAGGAGTTGGGATTGTGGTTCCAACAAGACTCTTCCGCCTAGAGGTCAGTCGTAATCTCTGATTCGTGTGTTTTTTTTTGTTTTGGTGCCTAATTTTTTGGTCTGGGTTTGATCTCTGTTTTTGTGTATAAAGAAAAGGCGTGGTCTCTATGGATCCTATATAATGTCATGCTTGCTGTTTCCACCGTATAATTTTCTTTTGAACAGGAAAAGGGACACCTATTGTAGAATGCTGTTCGATCTTTTATGTACTTACTACTTATTCTAGTTTGGTTTTATGAACAGGGGAACTTCTACTACATATTGAAGCAACAAGAGCATGATCGTGGAAAAACTGGCTTTCGGTTTAGCATTTCTGCTCCATCATAAATATTGAATTTTGACGGGATTTCATGTCCAGGAATTACAGAGTAAGGCGGAAGTTAATTTCTTTCTGGCAATTTGTTTCATTTGCTTATTGACAGCTGCCCTTTCTTAGTTATCAATTTGAACTGGTTGAAAAAACTTCCTTTTACACGTCCAGGGAAGTGACAAAAAAAGGAAAAGGAAAGTTTTGCTTCAACCATGGAGAATGGAGAATAATTTGATTTGTGATGCTGTATTTGAACAGGTTACGGAAATTTCCCCTCAATATTGGTTTCATTAACCCTAATGGGCGGATAATTTTTTTACTCCATCAATGAAATGAGACTTTTTCATTTCATAGCTTATATGGTTTATGATTCTCTGTCTCTCCATTATATATTTTGTGCTCATTTTGTCAATTTTGTTTTGAATAGAATCTCTTCATGCCTGCATTGTTTTCCACCCCTTCTAAATAGTCCTGAAAATTTTGTTCTTCTAGAATATCTGAAATGCTTAAATCCTTTTTCCATATGGAATTTGATTTGTGATTCTATTAGATCTTCAGGCTTCGTATTCGTATTGTAACAACCCAAGTCTACCTCTAGCAGATATTGTTCTCTTTGGACTTTTCCTTTCGAACTTCTCTTTAAAACGTGTCTACTAGGAAAAGGTTTTCATATCCTTATAATGGATCTGCTAGGTAGAGGTTTGGTTTCTACACCCTTATAAAGAATGTTTCATTCTCCTCTCCAACCAATGTGGGATCTACAAGTATAACCTTGACTCCGATTTTCTTTCTCCTACTCGGCCTCTCTCTCTTTTATTAAACTATTTACTCTGGGAAAGGGATCCTGGTCTCCGAGCTCATGGTAAGCCCACCCATCAAATTATTGAATGCCTCAATTGGGGAAGTCATCGTTGGGACATGGCTGTGCTGAGGTCATGAATGTCAACTGTTAACACACATGAGGACTCTCTTGTTCTTTGTGGGGATAGGAAATCTTGAATTCTGTCAATGATTAAAGTGAATCCGTGCCCGATAAGCGGAGACCGAATGGAAACTTCTGTACATACGGTTGTATGTAAAAATTTTCTTATTACCTTCCTTCATTGTTTGCCATAAAATAAGAGTATTTATTAACGGTACGATATCATCTAACGATATGTAGAATACTGAAGGGAAGAAATATGTACTGTCACATTTAGACATAAGATTTCAGAACAAGGAGGAATACAAGGAAGTTGGAAGATTTCATTGGAGTTCAAGTTGCAGTTTCTGATAATGGAAACATTTTTCTCCGGAGTATGCTTCAATTTCAATTTTGCCAAAGAATTAGTGACGAGTTGTTCTAATAGATTACATTCAAAATTCACACACTAATATTTGATGGCTGATTCTCTTGAGGAATAGATTGCCTACGCACCCAAAGACGGTTAATGGCGTGAGATGAGAGACATGAGATAAGTCGGGGGAGGTGATACTATGCTGAAATGATCGATGAAGAAAACTTTGATCAACATAAGTAACGTTAATAAACTGATGATTATAAAAAAGTCATCTTTCGATGTCATTGTACCGACCACAGTTAAGGGTGACAATATATATATTGATTGCTCGTAGTCTATTGGTATGTTTCTCACATTTTTAAAACACATTTAAAATGTTGTACTAAATTGCACAAATGATTTTGTTTTTAAAAAAACTACCATTTTCGTTGGATTATAAAACACTTATAAATGGTAGTACTCACTCCTATTTGTTCTCCCAAGAGAAGCGGAACTCTTTCTTATGTTATAGAGGCTCAAAGACTGAATTTAATTGTTTGAACATTAGACTACTACTAAAAAAGACGAGACCACGACTATTCACATAAGTGAAGTGGCTGGATACATAAGGGAAGTGCACGTTTGTTAGACCTTAGTTGGGATTCATAGGGAAGTCAACCTACGAGTACAAAAGATAGACAATCTGACCTTAGTGATATAATTAACCTATGTTAGAAACAACTAAAAATGTAATAGATATTAATCATGTGCACCCCCATCACTTAATTCCCGCCCTAAGAAATTGGGACGCTAATCTTTGGCAAATGGAGAAGGGTAAGGGATAGAATTTGGCCTCAAAGTTGGGAGACAATCAACCGAGTTTCTTGGACCAAATCGTCAAAAAATAGTTTGTAGCATTGTAATTTTGAGTTTAATATATGTTTCATTTAGAGATTCTATTACAGATTCTATTACATATGTTCAAGTCAGTTTGCATATAACTTGACTATTTAACGGTTAAGATATACACGTCTGCACATGACTTGACTATTAACAATTAAGATAAACACGTTCGATACATAACTTGACTATTTAACCGTTACAATATTTCTATTTAGCTAAAAGATTGTTGGTACACATTCCTACATAAAAAAAAAAAAAAAACTTCTACATTGCATTTTTCTAGCTATATTTTAAAAACTTCAATTCCTTTAATCTAGGTTAACATGCCTATCTTTTTTAAGCAAAGCTCTTTAATTTTTCAAATATTTTGAATTTCAAAGTTTCATATTCTTCTTATGCTTGATTATACAGCTCTCCCCACTAAAGCAAAGCCTCCACCTATTTATCATCACTTTGACTTCCAAAAAGGTTAAAGCATTCAGCCAGCCCCTCATGTTTAAACAAACACTAAATATGAATTATGGACAGAGCTCTGAATTGAAAACAAGACCATGAACTCAGTAGTTTCACTCTGGTCCTTCTATTAAGAATGAAAAAATAGGTAATCTTTAGATCAAGATCACAAAAAGTAATATAGCCTTCAAAAAGTAACCAAATTACCAATAATTTTTATAACTGGAAATTCTTAAAAGTTCATACAAAATGGACAGCAAAATGAGAGAAAGCGATTTTTAAAATAATAAATAAACCAATCTTGAGTAACTTATTCTTTTGTTATGTGTTAGGCTGCACTATATCAGCCTAGAGCAATCACAAGTTAAAGGTAAGATGCAAAGCATATTTATTTTGCACCTGATGAAGAGTTTATTATAGTGGAGGGCTGAGTTTTCTTGAAAACTTTCTGCTTGGTTGGTTGGTTGGTTGGGTGTTGAAAACCTTGAATTCCGACAAGCAAATCATGATCATGAACATGTATGAACTGAAATATTTTAACAAAAACAAAGCATTAAAGGTACTCACTAACTGTGCTTTCCATCGTGGAAGTGAGCATTCTTTGAAGACTTGAAAGTTTCTAAAAACTGCTTGGCCTTCTGTAGTTCTTGTTTCTGTCTTTTCTTATCCCAATTATGTTCATCTGCTAATATCTCGATTACTCGAGGTAATGCGTGATTAGCAGCATCTGTATCAAGGAAAGCGAGCCGTGATCTTCTGGCGATGAAATCTACTGCAGATTCACAGTACTCATGCCGAGCACAGTATGCAACCTCAGCCTCCAAGAAGGGGTAGCCATGGGCTAACCGCTTGCCCAAATTCTCATTCTATCATTAAAAAAAAAAAAAAAAGATTTAGTCCTTGATAGTTCATTGCACAAACTAGGGTCTCTACAAACTAAAGGTCGTGATTTTATTAGAACGTATAAGCCTTTACCAACTCCATTGATGTTAAATCTCAGTAAGATTCTGTTATCAAACTAGACGTTTTTTAGTTTTTAAAAATTGTGTTTGTTTTCACCCAATTTTTTTACAATAGTTTCCATCTTTTGTACGAAAAGATTTGAATTCTTAGCTAAATTCTAAACAAAAATAAGTTTTTAGTTCTCATAACTTTGCTTGATAACAGAACAAAGAAACCAATAAGTTGGTTTATGGTTTATAAACTTGGATTTCAAGAACTAAAAATAAACAAGCAAACGGTTACCAAACAAAGCCTAAGTTACTAAAATTGAATTTTCTTTGGGTCTAACTCCAATGCACAGCGAATTCCCTTCCCCAAAGAAGTTGTTGAATAAATATTTAGTTCAAAAAATGACTATACGTCTGAATTTTCCAAATCACCTTTGCAGACTTTGCTCACGATGCCTATGAAAAATTTAAGATTCAACTATTTTTTTCTTCAGACTTTTTTAGGCGAAACCAAGACTTTCAAATAAATTGGCGAGAAGTGGCATACAAGAGAGTTGGGGGAAAAAAGTGAGAAGAAAGAGTAAACCTTTAAAAGAATAAAATTAATTAGACCTCACAAAAAATCCCAATTTCTTGACTTGTCTATAAAGACCCTCTGCATTCCTTGGTATCACACTCCCCACAAGACACCCGTAGCCGGGCAAGACCAAATCAGACGTTAGGATCGAAAGACAGCAAAATAGCTGCTTTAACAACGATTACACCAGCTTGGGGGAAGAGAGAACATGAGGTTCCTTTCTTTAACCAGTCTCCTTCTCCAAGGGACCAAATTAAAACTTCTACCCTTTTGGGCACTTTCTTCCTCCAAAAATCTGTAAGAACTGCTCAAGGAAACACCATCACCATTTCCTTTGGCGTTAAGGAAGGAGAAGAAAGATTGAGGTAAAACAAGGCCTTTTAAATCAACCTCCACTATGTCTAAACCCGGTCAGAACGTTCACCTTCAAGAAGGTGAGAAATCTCAATCCAAGTGAATACTAGATTCCCGCTATATCAGGCAATCCTTAACCAATACAGATACTGAACACCGAAGTTTCTCCGTTGAGGTTGTGATATTGGCCATCTATCTGACCAGAAAGAGCTTGAGGATCCATTACCAACTTTAATCTTCAACACTTCTTTATTGTCAGATTAAGAAATAATGTTCCTAGGGCTTGCTAAAGAGCTATTATAGTGAGCACACCCCACCCCCCCC